CTCTATAGTTCAAAGGATAAAACTCTTCTATGCTCTTGAATAAAAATAAGCGCTAATATCAATACAAATCTTTCGAATATTAACTATTGATTCCATATTAAAAAAAATAGACTCCTTCTTTGTTGTTTCAAGACAATATTTGATTTTCAGTGTACAAGGAAAAACAAGTAGAACACAATACAATAGATATGCACTGAAAAATGCAGACAGCATCAACCTATAAAAAAAATGTTTTCGATATCATCATTCAGAATGAAAAAAAAAACTCTGTAAGTAAAAAAAAAATAATTCAAGTTAACATGACACGCACTTGTATCAGTCTAACGACGAGAACAGATCAATGTTATTTTGCATATGCAAAGAAAAACATCAGAGTTTTTTTGGCCTCATAATAATGTTTCTTTTTTCATTTTCAACAATGTCAATGTGATGCTTGCAACATGTGCCAATCTATAATGCTCATCGTACAATAAAATTCATTTGAAATCGAACATTTTCTTAAGCCGAATGACTTTGTATTCTATACAAAAAAAATGCTTTGCTCGTTACGCGACATCATCAGTAATAGTCAACATTTGATTTTAGTTAATTCAACTGCACTACATGTTATTATACGATTAAATGCAAAACTTGATGGGAAATTAGTGTTGATAATTGAAGATGCATTTCGTAAGTTCACTAATAAGAATTCCTGCACAATTGAATGATTCTATTTTCATATTAAATGTCTTGGTATTGAAACAGCTCGAACATTGACTAAAACCAATGCTCGTGTATTTATAATAGCACGAAATATGCAAAAAAGGTATACAAATTGTTGAAGATATTTAGAAAAAGAAATCATTGAAATAGATTTAACATCTCTTGACTTGGTAAGAAATTTCATCAATAAATTTCAATAACAACGTCTTCCAAACAATATTCTTATATGTGAGTAAAACGATAAAAAGATTGTTTTTCTCGATTTGAGATTTATATTACAGGTAATGCTGTGATTATGGCATGTTCTTATTTAAGAAATAGTTGACGATTTGGAATCATAATTATGCTTCAATCATTTTGTCTATTTTCATCTGATAATCTATTTTGATTTGAATTGAAAGCAAGTAAACATGCATGGGTTACCTGTCGTTAATTCACTGGTAAATAAACTTCATATAATCAATTTTGATTATATTAATTCTGAGAAAAACAGAATAGAATAAATGATTGTCTACGTACAAAGTAAATCAATCAATATTCTTTTTCTATACAATAACTCAATGAACTCTATGAAAAAGATAGAAATCGAGGATTTTCATTGCATCTAAGTGTTTTTCTAATTGATTTACAAAAGTACACACCATCGGAAGAATTATAGATATTTGATATAATCAAACGAGATAATACACTAGTGAAGTTTTGTGAAACTATTAAACAAAAAACTGAGATGAGTATGTATGCTGCTCTAGCACCTGAACTAGCTAATCATGGTAGTGAATATTTTCGAAGACTGGGGAAGTAGCCATAGATTAAATACTGGTCCAGAACATTAGAGCATGGGAGTACATGTTCTTTATATGAACAATGCCGAAAGACTATGAAAATTAAATGAAAAACTTATTGAATCGAAATAATCAGAAAAGAAAAACAAAACTGTTTAATTGAAATTAATATATTTATTCTAATTGTTTTCAGAATGATTCTCATCGAAATCATCAGCTAATTAATAAATCACAAAGAAGAAAAACAAAACATTATTAGAAAAAAAAGACTTTGTGATATAGTGTTAAAATTGCATTAAAATCTGTAACAAAGTAATCGAATTAATAAATTGTTTTTATTTATTCATATTTTATTTCGTTTTCAAAACCATTTACCTAATATATCGTACTTAACTTATTCAAACACTTCATATAATTTATTCTTTCGTTTCTACAAAGTAATTTTTTATAGTACACATAAGCAGATAATAATACAACAGTAAATTTCTGGTCTTTTTGTTTGTTGACTTCTTGATTTTTTTTTCTTCGGTTTTTTTCAGAAGATTAATCGTACCTTTGTATTAGCTCATTGAGAAAGAATCAAGGTGAACAAGTATTTTTCTACATATAAATCGTTCCACTTGAAAAAGGAAAAAAAAAGGAAGAGAACAACCTTGTTGTTGTTGAGAACGATAACTTACGAATATAATATTTCATCTTCTCCATCATTTTTCTTTTATCGTTTTTATTTTAAGACTGAAAGATCAATAAACATGACTATTAAGTTGTTCTAGTTGTATCGTCTTTTATGAATCGCTTTTCTCTTCGATTGACAAACGAAATGCATTTGAAAGAAAAAAAAACCGCAAGCAAATTCATGATTTATTTATACAGAAAGTAAGCTATCGGGTTTTTCATGCCTTTTTTTCATTCTGTTTCACTTGTGTGTCGAAATCAGCCAAGTGTCATTCACTCGTCGGTGATACGTAAGTAGCTGTGCATGTGAATTGTACAAACGAAAAAAAACAATTCAAACAATTCACAATAGCATCTTTTTTAAATAAAATGGGTTCACATACATCGAAAAAACATGGGTCTTCTCGTAAACTTGCATTAAATCCTCCTAAATATGATTTAAATCATTTTGGTGTTATAACTGTTTTATTTAATCCAATTAAATATAAATCACGTTATGAAGCGTATCATAAATTTGATGAACATATGACACGCTCAGGCGTTACTTTACTTACTGTTGAATGTATATTTGAATCACCTGAATCAATGGGTTTACCAAGACAAAAATTTGAAATTACACGAGCAAACGATCCACGACATTTACAAATTGTAGCACCATCAGTTCTATGGTTAAAAGAAAATTTAATTAATATTGCAGCTAAACGTTTACCATCCTATGTAGAATATATTGTGTGGCTTGATGCTGATATAGAATTCGAGGTTAGTTTATTAGAGTTCTATTACGCCATTGAATTTTTTTTTGTCTATTTGTGATTTTTCTTTTTTCCTTGAAATATTATATTGCAACGTAAAAATATGTTTATTCACATATATGTGTTGCTACTTAGACGAGTAAAAAACCAAATATTTGTTATGAAAACAAAATTAAAACGAGTTTCGATGTTGGAAGTCTAATTCACATATACTATTCGACAATTTTAACAAAATGAATGATTTCATGGGAGCTTTTTTTTCTATGAGATAATTGTTCTTTTCTTTTTATTTTTTCAGCGTTCGGATTGGCCTCATATAGCAATATATCAATTGCAACAATATCCTATTGTTCAACTTTTTGAATTATGTTCATTTTTGGGTCCATCAGGTAAAAGTCAAATTTTACGTCAAGATTATTCATTTGCTTATGCAATTCGTCATAATCTACGTCTTGATCCATATCGTTCATCCGAATGTTTTGTTCATCCTGGTTATGCTTGGGCTATGCGTCGAGCTACATTTGATGCTATGGGTGGTCTTCTAGATTTTTCTATACTTGGTTCAGGTGATATTCACTTTGCATATGCATTAATAAATCGTATTGAAGAAACTATACCTAATGATATACATGAAGATTATCGAAATTTAGCTAAAGTATGGGGTCAACGAGTAGCTCAATTAGCTGGTAATGGTGCTTTTGTTGGTTATATTCCAGTTAATATATGTCATTATTGGCATGGAAACCGTGTTGATCGAGGTTATTTTGAGCGATGGTATAATCAAATATGTTTAATTATTTTTTTTTTGTTTTTTTTTTTGTTTTTTGAATATTAATTGAAAATTTTCATTATTTAGGTCAATTCTTGAACGTTTTCAATTTTCTCCATTGAAAGATCTCGAAAAGCATAATCAAACAGGTCTACTTCGTTTAACTGACTATCGTCGTTTAGAACAAACAGAAGCAAAGACACGTTCAGAATCTATTGAAAAAATGATTATATCATATTTTCGATCACGTAATGAAGATAGATTAAAAAAACCTGTACCAACAATTAATTTAGCAATGACAAATCCAAGACCAAGAATTTTATCAAATGATGTTGTACGTCCAACTAATCCTGTACCATCAATTTCTCGTGCATCTTGGACAACAGATATTAATCGAACATATAAGGATAGTGACAATATTCATTTACAAGATGTACGTTCAGGATATCATACAGTTGGAACAAGTTCTCTTTCCGAACGATTATTTAATGATTCTTTTTTTCATCCATCTATCCATGAACATCGTGCTCGAAAATATCGTAATCAAGATTTTCTTGGACAAATTGTATATTATGATGATGAAAATGGACATGATTATCCTATACCACCCGAAGAAATTTCATTTTAATTTTATATAAATATTCTTGATTCTTTTTTTTTTACAAACAATTTAGTCTTTTTTTGTCGTTTTGTTTTCAATATTTTATAATGATAAATAATAAAAAAAAGAATAGTTTTTCATCATCAGAACCTAAGACAATATAAAAAAAAAATCTCATGACTCATATTAATAATGAAAAGCAACAATTCTTCTCGAACATTCGAAAAACCTCCAATAATTAATTTCATTATCTTAGATATTTATTTTTTAAATTCAAAAGATATTTTTATTTTTGATTTCGTTTCTACCAACATTTTTCAATTGAATTTTTGTTTTGATATATACAAATGGATTTTATTCGGTAAATTATGGATTATAAAAACTTTTAATAAAACACTTATGCATATTCATTATGAGGACACAAATATTTTTCTTATGGTATCCAATAAGTATAAATATAAGAACGTTCGAAATAATCAGCTGCGAGACAGACAGCAGCAAGTCAATCAAATAGCACATGTATTTAAAAGTGCAAATTTTGTCAACGTTGTTCAAATTGGATGAAATTTTTGTCAGATAAAAAGAAAATAAAAATAAAAAAATATATAACAAATTAAATCTGTTTTTTTTTTCTTTTTCTTCTTCGTCTTATTCTTCATCTTACTGAAAAACAAAACAAAAAAATAAATAAATAAATAAATAAATAATAATAATACAAAATGTTTACAACAACTAATGTAGCTGCTACAGCAGGGTCTGCCGGTGGTCCTGTTGCTGCTGCTGTTCCACCTACTTTTCAACTTATAAGTACACCAGTTAATGGTTCATCATCATCATCGTCGTCGTCAACAAATTCATCAGCATGGCGTTTAACTTCAACATCAACATCATCAATAATTAGACAACCATCCGTTGTTTCAATTATAAATGGAAATATGAATGTAACATCATCAACATCAGTACCAATTAATTCAACCGGTGTAACAATGCCAACAAATGGTAATATACTTTATATAGCAACAACAAATTCTCAACAACATAATCCAATTACAACTGGAAATCTTATACTTCAATCTCCACAAACAGTACGACTTGTATCAACACCATTACATACATCATTATCTGCACCAACATTAACATTTTTAAATAATAGTAATACGACAATAATTAATAATTCTCGACAAATTATAACACCATCAAGTAAAAGTTTTTTTGTTTATTTTAATTTTAAAATTAATATAAATTTTAGTTACTTCTTCTTCTAATAATTTCAAACCGGGTATTTGTATTGATACACCTATTCTTGGACGATTAGCACCAATAACAATTCAACGACAAAGTAAAATTAGTTTCCTTTTTTTTTTAAATATTTTATTATTTAAATTATTCATTTTCTTTTTGTATAGTTACAAATATTTCTCCTGTACAACAATCCCAATTAGCGAACACAATTTCTCAAAATCAAATTGACGAACAGGTGAAATAAAAAAAAACAAATACTAAATATAAAAACAAAAAATAAAGAAAAGAAATCTTTTTTTGTTTTCTTTTTTCTTTTTTAATTCTTAGAATAATTCAACAAATTCATGTATAGTAAGTAATGATAATAATAATTTAATAAATAATTCACAAGATCAAGAAATTGAAATCTTTGTCAATAACGTTGTTTGTTCATTTGCACTTGGTTGCAAATTAAATTTACGTAAAATAGCTATAGAAGCTGCAAATGTTATTTACAAACGTGATCAAGCAGTATGATTTTCTAAATTAAAAAGAAATCTATTCATTCTTGCTTTTTTTTTAAGATGGTATTGATGAAGATGCGAAATCCATATTGTTCAGCCAATATCTGGTCATCGGGTAAAGTAACAGTAACGGGAACGACGAGGTGTGTGTAGGAGGAAAACTAGTAGTAGTATCACATTAACGTGTACACTGCTACTTATTACTTCCAGTGAGGATGATGCACGACGCGCGGCACGACGTATTGCTCGATCGCTGCAACGACTCGGATTTAAAGCCAAATTTCGACATTATCGTGTTGTCAATTGTCTAGCAACGTGTACGATGCCATGGCCAATTGATATTATTAAATTAAGTCGAATGTATTCAGAAAGTGTCAGGTAAGAAGAAAAAAAAAATCTTTTTTTTTTTAATATTTCTATTATAATAAAATGAAAAAATTTATTTTAGTTATGAACCCGAAATTCATCCGGGTGCCACAGTCAGATTGTCTGAAAAGGCTGTTCTTAAAGTTTTTACTACTGGTAGTATAACATTAACAGGTAACAAAAAAAATATATATATACATATCTTGTTGTTTTTCTAAATTTTCAAAACATTGTTTTTTATGTGTTCAGCGCCGAACGTTGAACGTATCAATACAGCAGTCAATGAATTTTATCCACAATTATTTGAATGTCGAAAAATAAATCATAATGGAAGACAGCGCTGACGTCATACAATAATAATTCGACTTGATTTTTTTTCTCGGGACAATCATCTCGTTTCTTTACTATTTTTTTTTTCTGTTTTCTCGAACTGTATGTATATATATATATATATTTGAAAAGCGTAAAAAAACAACAACAACAACAACAACAAACTCTTTCTCTCTTGTTGTCTCTACTAGTTTTTTTTTTTCTTTTGCTCATCTGTCAAAACAAAGTCACATAAGTTCTCTTTGTTCATTTTGTTTTCTCTGTTGATTGTTATTCAATTCTTTTTTGTCTCTCTCTATATTTCTGCAGATTTATGTTTCGAATTTATTGTATGTATATAGAAGTATGAAGAAAACAAAATTCACGATGATGATGATGATGATGATTATAAAATAGAGCCAAAGCGAAGAAGATTTATTAGATATTTCAAATCCTACTTTAATTATTATATTATATTGTTTCTATGTAAATGTTTCTTGTTTTTTTCTTGTGTTTGTGTGTATGTATACCAATTTATAACCTAGGAGAGAAAAAAAAATACGCAGCCATGAACTAACTTGACGCGATGCATATTTCATCTTTTTTTTCTTTTTCTTTTTTGTTTTTCATTTATATTATTCTAACAAGAGAAAAAAAAAACCCGAAAAAAAATAGCTAGTTTGGTATTTTCATTGTTTTTCTTTTTTTTGTGTTATTAGGACATATCTTTCTTTTTCTCTTTGTTTCATTGTTTGTTGGCTGATTTGTTTTAAATCTATATCTATATTCTTCTTCCTTTATTTCATTGTTTTTCTTTTTTTTTTTTTGTATGTGTGCGCGTTATTCGATCTCGTTGGTATACAAACACAAAGAAAAATTAACAAAAAAAAAAGAGTAAATTGAAACATTTAAAATATAAAAAAAATTATTTGAAAGTATAAATTTTCTTTTCATTCTTCAGATGGTTATGATTATTTCGTTTGTTTTTCATATTAAAAATGCATGTGTAGTGTATATCAAAAGGGAAATAACTGGAATTCTCTTGATACCGACATAATTGAGTATGAATATTAGAATTTATAATAGAATATTGGAAGAAGAAATTATTTCTTTTATTAATATTTTTTTTACGACACATTTGAATATGAGTCCATTATGTTTCATATTTATCAAGATCAATTTTAATGTCATTTTTATTTTTAATGTAAATTCTCTTTTTGATGATCTTTTCGATTACAAATACCTACTAATTTAAAAATGAAAAATAGTGTAATTATCCATGAGTATAAACAAACCATAATTTGTATAAAATATCAAAGATATATTTCTAATTATTTTAGTTAATTTTAAAAAAGAAAATAAAATATGTTTCTTATAAAATATTGATAATGAATATTTGATAAAAAAATCAAAAATCTGTTCTGAATAATTTTCACTTCCTATTGTTTCAAGCAAAAAAGAAATATCATTGATGAACATTTGTTACAAAAAAAAAAAAAATAAGAATCAAGTATGTCTCTTAGGTGACATATTGATAGGCGTTTTTTTTTTGCGTTCGGCTCATTTATTAAGGAGAACGCATATTATTCACCATGAATGACGAATAGAGAGAAAGAGCCTATGCTTTCTCATCATACCAACATTCATCTAAATAGGTGATTCGTCACGCATTAATGCACAGTAATATCTCTTTTTTCCTCCTACACATTTATTCATCAAATTGACAGACTAAATTCGTGCGCATTGAATCTTTATTTATCCCTACACATATATATATATTTCCAATGACAACAATAAATACAAAAGCATATTATACAAAGATGGTAAATCAGGATGATGATGTTTTTGATGATAAAACTATTCAACGTTTTGATGCTGATACCATCAAAAATCGGTATGGAAGTAATTGGAAAAATTTTGCTTCAAATGTACGTGAAATAACTCAACCTGATGGGTCAATTATCAAAGGTATACTTAAGCCTTTTGTTTTTCGAATAGAAAGAAAAAAGAAAAAGAATTGTTTCTTTTTTTTTCTATTCTAGAATATATTATTGAAGATCCAAGTTTACTTGAACAAAATAAAATATCATCACAACCAATCAATTCAACATTATCAACACCAACAACAACAATTTCTGATGATGATCAACAACAACAACAGCAATCATTAAAAAGTAAATTTGCTCAAATTAAAGCAAAATTTGAACAAAAAAATCTTTCAAATGTTATGACATCACCATTCAGTTCATCAATACATAGTAGTAATACGACAGCACGTGAAAATTCTAGAAAACAAACTGATGATTTATATGCAAGACATAGACGAGCATCAAATGAATCAATACCTACTCGTAGAATAAATAATATTAATAATAATAATAATTCAATAAGTGCTTCCAATCGATCTACTGATAGACATAATAATTATCATCGTTCACAATCAATTACAACTGATAGATCAAAAATAAGTTCATTTAGACGTTTTGATTCTGCTGATGAAGCTGATGAAGAAGTTCGACAAATTCATCGACAAGGTAATTTTAATTAAATCCTTTTTTTTCTTTGTTATTTTTCTATTATTGTATTCTATTCACAAAAAAAAGGTGAAGAATTACGTCGTTATAGACAACAATTTACTCCTATACTATCAACCAATGATAATTCACAACAATCTCGTATTCAATATGAAATAGTTGATGAAGACGGAAATCCTCTGGTTATTAATGATGTTCAAGATTTAATTAAAATGTCAGGTGCACGTGCTCGAGAAATTACACAATCAGATGGATCAGTTATTAAAGAATATGTTATAGATGATCCCGAAGTATTATCGAAATTTCATTCTCAACATGATCATCATCACCAACACCAGCAACCACACCAACCACACCAACCACACCAACAACAGCAACCACCAATGACTTCATCCTATACTCAACAACAAATTATTGATGAAGAAGCTCCACCACCTCCACCACGTATTCCATTGCGGCCATCAATATTATTTCGTCAAGGACGATCTTCAAAGAATGATAATCTTTCATATAGTATTCAACAAATTCGTGTTCTTGAAGCACAACGTCGTTATGAATATTTAACAAGAACAGGTCAATGTATTCAATTTATTATAACGAATTCTGATAGTTTTAATGGACAATTTATAACTGATTCCGATATTCGTGAATTAACACATGCTATTAATAATCGTCTTTTACCATCATCTAATTCTATTCTACAACAACAACAACAACAACAACAACAATATCATCAACAACCATCGACACAAATACAATATAATAAACCTAAACAATGGCATCCATTAGTTGATTTCACACATCGACAACGTATTGGTTCCGATAATCAACCACTTTCTAATAATAATTTTCAAGAAACAAAAACAAATTTATCTCGTTCAGCATCTCATGGTCAACTTAATCAAGAATTTTATGATACAAAAAATCATCAACAAATTATGAATGAATCAATTAATAATAGGAATGGATTTCAATATCAAGATTCACATAGTCAAATAATAAATCAAGGCCATCAAAATCAAGAACTATTTCAAACACCAGCACAATTTTTACCTCCAAAACAAAGAAAACATTCAATGCATTCACCACCAATAAATAATAATCATCCACCGGTTTTTTATTCACAGTCAACAACTTATCCATATCAAGGACAACAACAACATGGTGTTCGAATTCTTAATGATTTAAAACAACGACATACACTTAATATGACTGATGAATACAATAGAATTTAAACTTAAAAAGATAATTTTATATTTATTATATAATAGAATGAAAATGTGCGAAATTTTTTTTTTCTGTTCATTAAAATGTTTTTTTTGTTTCATCACATTGAGAACTGAAAACATTTTTAGATTTATCATGAAAATATTACAACAAACATGGAACGATCTGTTAATGACAACAAGTATGCAAAATGTCACACAAGTCAAATATATAGATAATGGTGTGTGTTAAAAATGAATTTTAATTCAAAAGAGATTATTTGAAAAATGTTTTCTTTTTCTTTTTTTTGTATATGTGTTATTTAGAATGGTTAAATGAACTTGTTCATTTCATTTTGAATGGTTCTTATGATAAATTATTCATCGAATATCCGAATCTACGAGATTTTATTAATAAAAATCATGATGATTCTCAATCGATTGAGATTATGAATAAATTAAATCATGATGAAGAGTTAGTTAAAAATAAATTAATTAAACATATATAAATTTTTGAGATATTGTTATTTTTTGTTTTTCTTTTATTTAAAAGACTCATTGATTTTTTGCATATACTCATTGGTATAGCATATCTTCAATTGTTTATTATTAATAATTTTCTTGGACCAAAAATTGAACTTGATAATTTTGAACAATCAATATCACAAGTAGATATTTATTTATTAAATATCTATTCATATTGAAATTTTTCTTTCAAGACTACAATCAATGATTATTTAACATGTGATGGTGAAACACCTGTTTCAACTGTTGAACATTTAGATTATTTATTTCAAGCAATAAAAGTTTTTAATATTGAACAAAATAAAACCAATAAAAATTGGGTATGAATATTAAATACTAATGAAGAAAGGTTACTAATTGATCCCATGCCATTTTTCAATAATATTTTGTCTATATGTTGGGAACATTATTCTAGAAAAAATTCTAAAAGGGTTTCGGCTGATAGAACTTTCTTCGAAGGTTATCACCATTTTACTGATTTTTCTTCTCGCTTAGTACAAGATATATACAGAAAAATCGAACAATAGAATTTCGATCCAAAATTTTGCTCATATGTAATTATTGTAGTCATCGAAATACTCTAAATACTACGATGGCAAAAAAATCTTTTCTTGTCGTGATGTTGAATTGTTTAAAAAAAGTCAAATTTTCTCGACTTTGCAATTTATAAAGTAAATTTTTAAGAACCGACATCTCAAAAAAAAAACGCTTTTTTTCTACTGAAATATTTAGAAACTTTCAAGAACCACGAGAACTACATATAAGTGAAATTTCGAATTGAAATTCTGTTATTCGATTTTTCTGTATATACCTTGTGCTAAATAGAAAAATAAGTAAAATTGTCATAACCTACGAAGAAAGTCCTATCAGCCCAAACCTTCTTAGGATTTTTCTTAGAATAAGGTCCCTAAAACATAGACAAAATATCATTGAAAACAGTGTCGATTCATTGGAAACGTTTTCTTGTAAAAGAAAAACTCTTTATATATAATTTTTAGACTTGGTACTGGTGGACAATGAGAACTTTATTTACACATCAAAAAATGTTAGAAGAACGTACAATGACATTATGTAATCATATACAAATCTGTATTGATAAACGTAATAATTTAAAAATAAATAAAATCAATAATGTATTCTTGTTATTGTTTTCTTTTTCTTTATTTTAGTTTTAACTTATCAATCTGAAATGAATAAGTAAAAGAATTAAATAATGAAATATAAAGAAAAAACAAACATATATATTTATTTTAGAATACAACAGATTTTATTCTTTATTGAAATAACTTATATATCTGAATACTATTACAATTGGAAACAAGCCGAAACATCTAAAAATCGAGCACTTGAAATATCAGGTTTAGAAATTAATTTAACAGGTAAAAAGAGATTTGATTTTTTTCTTTGTTGAAAGAATTATTTATTAAATTAAAGGTCAACTTGGTAAACGAACACGATATCAAATAAATAATACATCACAATTACTTCTTGACATTAAAAGAAAAGAATTACAAGAAACTTCAATTAATAATAATATAACAAATGAAGAAAATTTGATATTACCTAAAGTAAACATCGATTGAATAAAAACAAAAATTAATTCTTTAATTTTTTACTTTTTTTTGGTAAGAATCTTGCATTAAATGATGATGTTGTTCTTAATCAAATTCAATTTCAAAATGAAACTGATTATCAAGATTTGACTGTTCAATTAAATATTATTGAACAATTAACTTTATTATTAATTATGTTAGTTATTCGTTATTTTGTTTTTATGTATAACTAAACTTTATACCGGTTATTTTTTTGTTTTACTTCTAGATACGATCGTCAAATTAATAATCCACGTCATGAAATTACAACAGAGGAACAATTAGCTTTTCTCAATGTATGTATTCAGTGTTTTATAATGAATTTTGAAAAGATCCTATTAAACTGTGTTTTAATTTCAACACGACTTTCTAATGATTTCTGTGACTTGTCAAAAATGTTTAATAAAGATAGGATCGACTTTTGATTTCTTTTTTTTTGCAATCTAACCGAATCAATGAAGCGATAATGCACAGATACGTCATGTGTATAATGAAAAAAATTAAGCTGTTAGATTTTTATTTCTTAACAAATGTCGTACTTACGACTTTGCCGCATTGAATTTCTACTTGTAAACTTTGATAATTAAGTACAAGTGCATTACGATATGCAATTATAAAATTGCATGCTGCTTAATGTTCGCTTTCCCTATTCGATATGCATGTTTTAACAGTGATCATTGAAACGTCATTTAGTTTAAGCAAGGATTATTACATGGGTTCTGCTAAACTAATGACTATTTGAGAATGAATACTTCACATGACTAATCATGAAGATGAGTAAAAACTTATCATCTCTTATTAATTTGATGAATCATCACCGAACTGGAAAGGGAAAGAAAGAGGGACATTTCCCCCTCCCAATTAATGAATTATTGATGTTTGCTTAAAATATACATAAGTTTGGTCATACTGTCTTGTTTTTTTGGATATCGTCATTGAACATTACAATCTAGATGATTATAAATGGACTGTTTTTACTATCTGAAATGAAGAATATTGATGATTTGTTACTAAAATAGCAAAGTGAGCATTTTTTTTCTATTAATTGTTACTCATCAAAAGACTTTCGATGACCAACTTTTGTTTTCCTGATATTCGATATGATCAATTTATTGTAAAAAGTTTATGTAGAAAGAGCTGTTTTTTGATCATGAAAGAATTTACAAGTATGCGAACAGATCTGGTTTTCATTAAAAAACATATTTTTTCTAAACTCATTTTCTGCTCTTTAATCTAACTGTGCATAACTTCATCTCATGATAATCATATCCTAATGCACTTATAATAAAATTAATGAAAATAACTGATATTCTTATAGGAAAAAGAACGTGATAAAAACTCATTGTTGTGCATATTTATATTTATTCCTATTCCAGCTTATATTATTATTATTAAATATTTGTTCATATTGATTAAAATAAATCTTTTTTTTCCTTAATAGTATATCTTAGCGCGACCGATTAATTGGTGTATTCAAACATGTTCTCTCACATTACGTTGTCAACATGAAACGGATAATAAACGTAAAATTGAACGAACATTATTACAATTACAAGTAAATGAAATTTAAAAGTTATTTATGAAAAAAAAAAAATTTTAAATATTTCTTCAGGAATTAATTGATCAATATGATTATAAAAATCCTTCAAGTTCATTTCGTTTAGAATATTTTCATTCAACACCTATTTATCCAACATGGAAATTAAAAGTAAAATTAATAGAATTAATTCTTTTTTTTTTTTCTTAATTCTGTAAATTATATTTTTAGAGTTATATTGCTCATGTTTATGTTAAACTTGGTCTTATTAATAATGCACTTGATTTATATTTATATTTAAAAAAATGGTCGGATGTTATAACATGTTATCAATTATTAAAAAAACTTTCATTAGTAAATTGTTTTTCTTTTATGTTACGCGAGAAGTTTCTTCAACTGATAAATCGCTTACGGACCAAGACAACGCGCATTATGTAGATCAAAATGAACTATAAATATCCTGAAAAGAGTTCGTGCTTTTATCTTATTGCTGCGAGGATATTGCACTTTTACGGCATTTTTTCGAGTGAATACCGTGATAACAGAAAAACTGATTGTCGAATTTCGACTTGAAACTTTGCATAGAGACAGGTTTTAAAGAGAAAATTTTCATATCCTTTTATTGTTCCTATTCTGAGATACAGCTATGGTAAACACGTGTCTTTTATATCGCTTATATACATCGGCAGATTCGATGTTCTTATTTCAGGATAGTAGTAAATCAAAAGACTTGAAATTTTCATAATAAACTATTCTCGTTAAGGTCTTTTCTCTATGCAAAGCTTTAAGTCGAAATTCGAAAATGAGTTTTTCTGTTACTATGGCATTCATTTTAAAAACTACTGTAAAAATGTCGTATCTACGCAACAATAAGTTAAGAGCATGAAGTTTTTTCACGATATTCATCGCTGATTTGGATCTACATTAATGCATGTAACCTCGATTTAAAAGAGATTTATTAGTTGGGAGATTTCACTCGTTAATGAAAGATAAATTTTTTTTTTTATTAAATTTATTTAGGCTGAACATATAATACGTGAACAATTAAAAATAAAAGAAACACCTGATTTATTATGTTCATTAGGTGAAGTAACAGATGAATTCGAATATTTTGAACGTGCATGGATATTAAGTAAAGAACGTAATGGACGTGCACAACGTTTAATGGGAAAATATTATTTTAATCGAGGAAATGTAAGAAAAAAAATTGTTGTTTTTCTTAAATAAAATTTATTGTTTTTTTTTTTGAATGAATTTAGTATGAAAAAGCTTGTGACCATTTATTAAAAGCTGTTGAAATTAATTCATTACAAGTATGGAAAATAATTACCAAAAAACTGTTGCTTATTAATTTTATTTTTCATTAGCATGACATATGGTTTTGGCTTGGTAGTGCGGCATTTCGTACAGAAAAATGGGAATTAGGTGTACGAGCTTATCATCGGTGTACTAATATTGAACCAGATGTATGTTGAAGATTTTTCTTACTTGTGATTTTATTGTTTTTTTTTTTTTTGTTCGTTGGAATAGAATTTTGAAGCATGGAATAATTTAGCTGCATGTCATACCAAATTAAAACAAAAGTAAAAAAAAAAGGAAATATTTATTCATATATTAATTGAAGTTTATTATTGATGTTTTATAGGGACAAAGCCCATAAGGTTTTTCTTGAAGCAATTAAATGTAATTATGATAATTGGAAAGTATGGGAAAATTTTCTTTGGGTATGTTTCATTAAATTAGGAAAATAAAATAGTAGATATGCATCAATTCCTGAAACATCATGTCAAAGATAATCTTCTGTGATCAGAATTTATGGAATACAAAACTAAGATTTCGAAATTGGCTGAAGCTTGTCTAAAATTTACATTTTTAAAGTCAATACCTACCACTTTTGAGTAGGAAGCTGCGGGTTCTTCCAGATCTAGGCCTGTACAGGTCCGGGTTGGGTTCTAGTATGAGTTCGGATCCACGAAAATGTGGAGTCCAACCTTCCTAAATTGGTTGCATAGAAAATATTGTTTTATTGAATACGCAACATGAGTCTTTGAAATGATTAGAATTGACTTTAGAAATGTAAATCTTAGTCAAGTTTCGGTCAATTTTGATACCTTTATTTTCTATCCCATAAATTCGGATTATAGCTTTGGAATAAGGCTAATATAGGAATTTATGTTGTGTATATAGAAAAAGTACATCTTTCCAGAAATTGGTACATGCCTATAAAATAGAAATAAATATTGAATTATTTCATTTAAAGACTAGCGCTGATTGTGGAGAAACTGAAGACGTTATTCAAGCTTATCATCGTTTAATTGATCTTAAAACAAAATATATGGATAAAGAGGTATGTTTGTTATTTGAAATATTATCATTGTTTTTTGTAACAGAAAAAAAGAAAATTTAAGGTATTACAACGCTTAGTACATTTATTATCAGAAAATAATCAAAATGAAATATGGACAAAAATCTATCAAAAATCTCTTGAATTATTTGGAAGATTAACTTCACAAGTAAAATTTTTAATTAGAAAAATTTATTTTAAATTATTTTGAAAAAAATTTAGGTAACAAATGATGCTGATATTTGGGAATTATATAGTGATTTATGTCAATTAAAAAAAGATAATACATCGATTGATTGGCATATGAAAGTATGTATTGACTAGAAATGAATTATTCAAGAAAAAAAAAACAATAATGTTAATTACTTCATTTATCTATATTTAGATAAATGAAGTATATTAAGTATTAATTTTTTTGGCATAAACATTCAAAATCTATGATTTACACAAAAAAAAGAAAAAAAAAAGTTAAAACTTTTTGTATTTGTATAGATTTTACAACAATTACAACGAGCTCATCGTTGTGCTACTAGTCAAACACCTAGTTGGGAAAGTGAAATTAATACAATAAAAAATGTTCTCAAATTATCAAATAAACTTGCTACTAGTATGTATACTTCTAATTCTAAACAATAAAATTCGTTTAAATATATTAGATACAATTGAACAACTTAATGAACATTCTGAGAATGAAAATTTCAAACAATTATGTCATTCAATTCGTCTTGCTTTAAATTCTGTTATGACTCGTTTAAAACAAAAATATGATTCATCATTAATGATAACTGATGAAAAAATAACAGATGATATTCAACAACTAGAAAAATCAATTTCACAATTAACTAATATGTTACTTAAAAATTGATATGATTATTAATGCATTGTTATTACTTTTTTTCATTTTCTTGTTTTTTTGTTTATTACTTTTTACAATAAACATGATGTTTAACAAGCGAAGAAAAAAAAAAAGAAGAAGAAACAAGAAATAATATATTTAGATCACGCATAGATTATGAAGAACGAGTTCATCCCAACAGTCGGATGACTAGAAAATCATGTTGAACGACAAACAAGATTTTTTTTTTCTTTTATATGACGAAGAACAGAATTTTTTTCTTATTATATATTCCATTGAATAATAGATTTGTCTATGATAATGGAATATATATTGACGAGAAGATTTTATCTTGTTCTTTTCTTCGTTTTCTTTTTTCTAACTTGTTTTGACAAGAAGGAAAAAAGCACCATACGCAGTCATATCTCTGAGAAAAATAAAAGAACAAATCAACAAACATTTGAGAGAAATAGAAAAAAAATCATGCTAAATAATGATGGTTTAAGAGGCAAAAAAGCAATATATAAAATCGTGTACTTATAATGAATTTTTAATAATAAAATAACTGACAGAATATGGCATGGCATGTTATATTACATTCTTAGAACAATCTAAGTAAGTATTAAATAGTAAAAGAAGAAATACAAAACAAAAAAGGAACTTGTCATTTTGTATTTGTGTTCTAGTTAATATTGACAGAAATGTTAAAATGATGACGTCTGTATCTCCTCTTTTTTTTACATCTATAAACATATATCAAATATTTTTTCTTCCCATCTGAGTAACATAGAATAAAAATTTAATTTCCTCTTGTTAAAGAAAAAGAATAACTTGTATTCTTAAGCGCATTAATCAAAGGGCTAAAAAACTGTCAGCCGCTAGTGACAGAATAGTTATTGAATTTCTATTTTTACGACAGAATTCAATGAACGATGCTCATTTATTGCCATATAAAAATATAAATGTCTTTCATAATACGAGGAAAAGAAACGGAAATACATCGTTATGATTGTAAACATATATTGAAACACGAAAAAAAAAATCTGAATCGACAGTTGACGAATCTTATTGTTTTATATTCAAGAAGTAAATTTTTTGTTTTTTTTTTCTTTTGCTTAGTGTATTAATAGATTACAGCAAATAATATGTGTTCATCTCAACCAATACCTTTATTTGTTATTGATACTTACGCATTGAATAACAATCAACAATCAATAAAAACTCCTAAACAATCAATATCGAATATTTCACGTTCATGGAGTTTACCAAACTGTAATGAAACTTATAAAGATTTATGTGGTGCTATACATTATGCATTTTCAAATCATTTACATAATTTTTTAAAACAATCACATTCATATCCAAATAATTATCTTTTAAATTATTTAAACTTACGTGAAAAAAAATTTCCTATAAAATCTCCATCAACATCAATTCATTGTAATATAAATTTACTTGATCCAAACAATGGTACACAAACACCAAGTTGTTTATCATCACGTTATTCAATGCATGGAAGTTTTTTTGATTTATCTGAAAGTGATTATTATCCACCATCAGATCAGCAATTTATTAAATCAAATAATAAATTATTAACCATTGATGGACATCCATTACTAATTGTTGATCCTTTTACTCGATTATCCACAAATACTTATCAAGATAAATGTACTGATTGGCTTCATCATCTGAATATAAATCCTACTTAAACATTTCTTTTTTTTTTGTATATATTTTATTTAAAATTTAGAAAAAAAAAGAGAGATTAAGTTTTTATTTTAATCATTTTCTTCGACAACAAGATGTTGTACGAAATCTTTATAAGTACATTTATGATTTGTTTCATCATCAAGAGCTATTGTCATAAAATCTTGAAATTCTTCTTCATTAAATGGTTCACCTAAAATAATATGAAAATAATTTTACTACAAAAGAAATATTCTTTTTTTTTTCTCTTTTGATTTAAATACCTTCTTTACATAAATAATTTCGAAATTCTTCTTCAGTTAAATAACCATTATTTTGTGTATCAAGAACTTGAAATGCTCGCAAAATTTTACTTTCTGGTTCACCTTGATAACGACGATCTTTTAATATCATATTCATGACATTTAAAAATCTTTCTAAATGTATTGAGTCGGGATTTGAATCATCAGACATCTAAAATAAAGTATATAGAAATATTTTTTTTGTAATCTCATTATTTTTTCTAATTATATTACTTCACTTAAAATATCTTGAAGTTCACCTTCTGTTGGTACAAGACCAAGTGATCGTATGACAGTACCTAATTCCGTTGATGGAATTGTATTATTTGATTCTTGATCAAATACATTGAATGCATCAGTCAAACGTTTAATACGAGCTTGATTAGCTCGTTCTAAATAATTACAATTCTTTTGAAATTTTATATTAGAACAGTTAAAAAAACAAACCTTCACTTTCTCGAATTGGATCTCGTAAAGTTACTCGATTTTCTTGATCAGGTACAGCGCCTGTTGCATCCGTTGACGTTGCCATTAGTAATATGTATTCAAGTTTGTTTCCTTAGAGTATTAGGTAAATATACACATACTTCAACAATATTTAGTTGTGCCATTTGCCAAAATTTTTAATTGAGAAATATACAACCAAATAATTTTTTGTCGAAATCAAATAAACTCTTTAGAATTTTATGTTTTATAATATTTAACTATTAACAGCGACATCTAATCAAAGTATTTTCTAATTGTAGAACGAAACTTAAAGTTCATTTTGTCTGTCATTTCCATGACAAGATTTTGTCGATATTATTCAAACTATTAACATTTCATTTCTATGATTATAAAGTAAATGATGTTTTTCTAATCAAAATCGTCATGCAAATAAAGATTTTCAAACGAAGAAAGTAAGTATTGAAAAATAGAATGTAAAGATTTTTCTTCAGAATACGTTTTGTTTTCGTAATAATTCAATATGAGAGTGGTAAAAATGAATAATCGACTATATGATCAAGAAGTTTTTTGCTTTTGTGATTTTTGATCACATCTCGTATTGCATAGTTATCTTTTAATCAAACCAATTGCGTTAATTCCATTCTATTTTTATCTGTAACAAGATATTTTTCTTTTTATATAATACTTGAAAAACTGTATTAAGTGAATTTATCTAATAGTTGATTTTGTCTAAATTGTTTATTAAACTGATGGAAAACATCAGATCACTTTCATCACTCTCATATTATTGATAAGTTAATTTATTCACTTGTCTAGATATTATTATAAATTCGAACATTGTTTTCGATTTCTACAGCTGAAGTATCTAATAGAAACTACAAGATATTCTTAGGCAACAAATAATCTTAATACTCTTTCTCAATCGAAACGATTATAAGTGTACAAACGTAATCGGCTATGAAACCAGGTGAATTCAATGAAAATGTTTATTTATATCATATTGTGATCTTCAAATTTACAGAGCAGATTTACATTTCAAATCTTTCATCACATTGATGTGATCATTTATGAAATGATTTCTCTTGTCAAGATCAATATGTATATTTCATTGGTTATTAAAACAGATATTTATTCACATCCGATTTCATCTTCTCATCAAGGTCATATTCGAATTTTAACATGTATTCAATCTTCTATTTTTGATGTTTGTGCTTTTTTATTTGAATCTTTTCTATGCAATCAAGAGAACGAAAAAAACAAGAACGTGCGACAAGTTTTGAAAAAGAAAAAGCTATTAGGGAAATAAAAATCAGCCATGCCGTACTAGAGTTACAGTCATATATAAGGATAAAAAAATAAATAGCAGCACGCGTATGACAAGAATTCAATTTGTACATCGCATGGACATTTTTGTTTTGTTCTTTTTTTGTTTCTGATTTAGAAGAGAACGAATGAAATGAACGAATTGATGATTATAATATTTTTTTTAAAAATGCGCGAACATATGACAATCAAAGCTGAGTAACAAAAACAGACTCCGATTACATAAGAAAGAAAAAGAAAAATGATAACGTTTAAAGTGAATGAAGAAAAATTAATTAATCTTGATGTCGAAGAATATTAATCTAAGAACAACATGATGAATTTTGTTTTGTATCAGATACAGGATTTGTTGGAGGTAAACGAATTGATGGAAAATTTCCTGATCCTGAACCACCATTACTTTGTTGTCCCATTGAATCTGGCATTGGACGTTGGGAAACAATACGATAAATTTCTTTAATAAAAAAGAAAATTAAAGTATAATAAATTATCAATAATACATAAAATAAATAATACCAGTGAGAATACTCTGGAATGCTTGTTCAACATTCGTGGAATCTAATGCAGATGTTTCAATAAATGAAATACCATTTTTTTCTATGAAATCAAAAAAAAAAAAAGAAAATCGTCTGTAAATAAAAAAAACGAAACAGTTATATATTAAATTTATATTACCAGAAAATGTTTTAGCTTCATCACTTGGTACTGAACGTAAATGTCTTAGATCAGATTTATTTCCAACAAGTGAAATAACAATATTTGCATCAGCATGATCACGTAATTCTTTTAACCATCTCTCAACATTTTCATACGTACCATGTTTACTTATATCATAAACAAGTAATGCACCAACTGCACCACGATAATAACTATTTTAAATCAATCATTAAAACAAAAACAAAAAAAAAAACAAATTATTATAAAAATAAAAACATACGCGCTTGTAATAGCACGATAACGTTCTTGGCCAGCTGTATCCCATATTTGTGCTTTAATCGTTTTTTTATCTACTTGTATACTTCTGAAAGAACAAAAGACAGGTTTCTAAAGAAGACTTTTTTTTTAAAACTTACCGTGTAGCAAATTCTACACCAATTGTACTTTTACTTTCTAAATTAAATTCATTTCGAGTAAAGCGTGAAAGTAAATTACTCTTTCCGACACCGGAATCACCAATAAGCACCACTAAATATACATTACAAATAACCCTTTTTTTTGTTATCTTTCAAATATTTACAAAATTTACCTTTAAATAGATAATCATATTCATCTTCTCGAGCCATTATAAGTTGCTATAGTATATATGAACAAAAATATTTGCTATCTTCAATATAAAACAGTTAAATAATATAGATTTGATTTTGAAAAAGTATTTTTATTCACATCTGTATCTGTTTACACACTACGTTATGATTGTGACGCGTCGATTAAACAATTTATGATTGGACTATTATTGTCTTCTACTGATAGTCTGAGTCATCAACTCTTGAGAAACAAATAACCATTAAGCATTAGGGTAATCGAGATGACGCTAGATGCTTGAAATCAAATTTACAACATTTCGGCTGACACAAACATGTGAGATTTTCTGGATGGTTTTTTATGCGTTTAATTGCTTGATCTTTCCATACACATTAACTAACCACATACTAGCCAAAAGGGCATACATACATCACAATATGGTCAGCATGCTATTGGATGGGTGATCCAAGATAAATAGCCATTAGTGATTTGTTCAGGGTTACTTCATGGCTAGCGATACACAAGTTTGTATCAAGGAAGAAAAAGTGAAACTTCAATACTCCGGAGTACGAGTGAAGCACAAGTGAAGTGCGACTAAAGTACGATGCAGTACGAATGAAGTACAGTGCAGTACAAGTGAAGTACAAGTACAGTATTGTACTTCGGAGTACTGAAGTCTCGCTTTTTCACCCTTGATAAAAACAGATGAGAATACATAGTTTATCTTTATTCAAATCAAGAAATTCAATTAAAGTTTGTCTTCATGAAAAAAATAATGCTGCATTAAGTTCGAACTAAATTGACATTCGTCTTCACTTATTAACTGTTGCTCAATAAAGAATTGTGCTCGTAGTATTTACAAAATTTCTTTATCTTACATCTGATTGAAACACTTTTTTAATCGAAAGATAGCACTCAAAATACTGCACACAATAGTCTACTTTATTTAAAGAAAATAGTTTCCTTCATTTTTCTGTGAATCAAACATAGCTGTACAGTGAAATCAATTATAGAATCTAAAATTTGTTCTTTTTCAACTTTTTATAGCATGTTTTTATTCGTATAATAATGCTGCCTCTAATGTAATACTATTCCAATCCATAGTTTCAACCAGTTCAATCCATAAACTATAATCTACTAGACATCGATCAGACGATTGTGGTGGCTAACGATTTTTCGGAATTAATGCAGGAAAGTGATCGGCATATTACTTTTGACTCAGAGGATACAGTGTGAAGCAAAGAGGAAACAGTGGAATCCGGACTTCACTGAATCAATTGACCTCACTTGATTTTGGAAGACTCCGTGGCACTAAAAGACTTGTGGAATCACGTGGAGTCTCGAAGTCTTACAGAATGTTCCTGACAGCCAAACGTTGGCCAGAAAAAAAAAGTATGCTGAATCAACTGGAGCATATAAACAACCAAAATTATCAGTTTCGTGCTTTCTGTGGATGCACAAGAAATATTGTTATGTTATTTTTATTGGCTAGGTGAACAGAACTGATGAAAATCAAAAGTAGTTAACAAGAGAATTCTGTGTTATTTCCGAACATATATTCAGAACTGTTCTCTGATTTCAGGTTGCTTAGTAGCGAGAAAATGCTGAAAAGATATGAAAATAGCATGTGGATAAAGAAAATAAAGATTTTTGCGCAATTTTAACTAGTTATTTTGTAGAGCATTCAGTTACCTACAAAATCATGTATTATATACAATCTGCTTCTGAAAACTATTTCCAATATAAAATGGCATACTGTCAACAAAATTAGTTTTTCTAAATTCATCTTTTCGAATAAAACAAACTTTCTGCTTGTTTTTCGAAATATAAAAAGAAAAGTAAATGTGACATTTTGTAGAGTAAATATGGCTCTAAAGTATAGTAAAACTTTTCATGTTTTAGATTGAGTAGGTTTTAGTCAAACACTTTTCCGACTCTTTCAAGTATTTGTACACCAGTGTTCAATTTTAACTCACTCAATCGAGTTCAAGCCGTCCCGAATAAATGATAAAGTGCTAGAATTGATTCAAGAACGTACAAAGATGGGAAGATTAAGGAGCTTTAGTCCTTGTTACGAAAAATGCCCTGGGTGCGATGCTGAGAAAAAAGCTTTTATCACTAGCGTAAAATTTTTATTTTAAGTGCTGAGTTGCTCGCCCCTCAGAAAATATCAACGTACGTTCCAGAATCTATTGAAGAGATAAATAAATAAATCGCCACGTTAAAATGGTTAAGAAAAGTTAAACGCCATTCTTTATGTTCATATGTTAAACAGCTGTCATTACAGCTGATAACAGATAATGAACTATATCGATATTTAAACGATCAATCGATAATGCTCTTTAGAAGAATATTGACAGGCTTTCATAGAGTTTTCGCAGTGATGAATTCTACAATGACTATTAAATTTCCAGTTTGTGTCAGATTTTGATCAGCTGATTGATGCAAATGTAACTTTTTCCAGTTATAACGATCAACAGAAATTCTTGCCTTCGTTCGAACAGAGACATCTTCAAAACACCCACCATTCGAGTTTGACTCTACAACCGATTTTTCCTTTTTTTTCAAAAACTCGATTATTTCACGTAATCGATACTCGTGCTTCGCACCTTATTTCGCATTCTCGACGAAGTCGAGATGCCATCTAGTGATCTCTAAGATAAGTTTTGAAATTGGTAATTTTAAGATAGTATTTATGAGTGAATAGGACGTCCTTCGGAAGATTGGAAAACAAATATTATTAGTTTGATCTCAATACTTTCACCTCGCATTTCTACGAATGTTTTCTGACTTTTCATTGTCGATTTAATTGGAACAGAAAATGACCATCTTTATGTGTACGTCGAGAGAAAAAAAGAACTAAATGGCACCTCGACTTCATCGAAAATGCAAAATTAAGTACAATCACACATATCGACTATATGAAATAATCGAATTTGCGGCTCAAACGAATAATCGATCTAGTATGAATGTCGAGTCGTGTTTCTCGTCAAGTAGCTTACGTTCTGTTGAAAACAGATGTTCCTGTTGATTGTTGTAAATCGAAAAAGTTGCATTTCCATCAATGAGCTAATCAAAAATTTGACTGAAGCTGAAGGAGTGCTCATCATGAAACTCATTACTACGAGAAGTCTATGAAAGCGTAGCAACACACCTTTAAAGCATGTTATTCATTGATCGTTTAATTATCTCCATAATCGTTCATCTCTAATCAGCTATATCCAGAGTCGTGTGATAAATATGGAAAGAGAATGACGACTATCTTTCCCTATTATTTTCATTTTAATTATCTCAAAATGAAAAAAAATGACAAAGTCTTAAAAAACTTTTCTTTTTCATACGTTATTTATATGCGAGCGAAAACTCATTAAGAAAATTGAAAAACAGCTGCTTTCGGTTCAATCTTGACACTTTCAACTTACATTGTTACAAATATTTTTTGACTTTCGGCTCACAAGGTTAATATGACACACAATGTCAAATTTATTTGCATATGTTTAGATAGGAATAAATAAAGAAAGAAAACTTGCGACGGACTACTATAAAGTGCTTCGTACCTTGAAAAAAAAGAAAGAAAACTCGCGAAAGACTACGTAAATACTGTACTTCGCATCGCATTAATAAAAAAAAGTATGCTATACTTTGTTTCTCATACATATGAGACAGAAAAAAAAAGGAAAATGTTAATGGAAAGTACGATTGGCGCTAACAATTGACAAGACAATAGCCATTATCTATATTCTCACTATTTTCTTTCTCATCGCCATTCGTCAAAAAAAAAACAAAAAATGATCACGATTGCCTATTATTCATGCAGTATAAATAGCTTCACTTTTTTTTCCCTTCATCAGTGTCATAAGTTCAATCATTGATATACTCAATATAATTGAGAATAAAAATTTATAATTATGGCAGAAAAACAGGTTATTATATTATCCCTTGTGACATAACACAATTTCATTTTCACTATTTTAACTATACTTATCAATTTTTTTAGAATCAAAACATAATAACACTAGTTGCTTACAACGAGGATATCATAATGAAATATAAAAACGGGTTATTAAGTGATACAGAATTCGCACTGGCTTTGAAATTCATCTTGGAACAAATTCAAAAATATTCATAAATATCTGTTCAAAGCTTGGTCATCTATCTTATTTTGTTTATTATTTATCATGTGGTGTACTCATTCTTTTCATTATTCTGTAACTTATTTTTTTCTTTCTGTCTTATTAAAACAATATTTTTCTTTCTATTTCATAATAACTTCTGCTCACGTATGTTAATCAGATCTTTTTTTTGGATTTTATTATCTATTAATAAAATCCTTTCGATCGATTAATGATCGTCATGTAATATTCATATTTAATTCTTGAATAAACAAAAAATGATTTATTTAAACACATTTTTATTTTAATGATTTATCATATTTCGGAAGATTAGATAAAATAAATAATTTTTCTAGTATTAAAAATTAATCTATTATGCAAAAGCTTTTTTTGTTTTATTTTCTGAACAAAAAAGAAACAGACCAAAATTTATTGTGATGCTTTTTAAACAAGAAAAAAATAATTTTTTCTTCATGAGTACGTAAAATAACACTAGTTAAATCTTATAAAGCATATATATATGTACATTAGTTATTGATGAACTTGATGCTAAACTTGATTTAACATCACAAACATTAATATCAATATTAATAAATAAAGTTTCTACATACCGTTTAATCAATCATATATATATACAATATTAAATAAAGATGATATATTTGGTATAAATTCTTCTATTGCAAAAGTTTTTTATGAACATATAAAAAAACAAGATGAAGCACGAAAATTCTTAAATGTTGAAATACCAATAACAGCTATTCAAATTGGACAAACATTTGATGGTAAAGAATTAACTAAACATATTATTACACGTGCACGTGCACAATTTGTTGATGAAAGATTAATGAAATCTATGGATGTTATGTTAGCTGGAATAAATACAAATGATAAACAAATTAAATTACATTTAATACGTTCATTAACAACAAGTTCATTTAATTGTCTTATTTCATTAGTTATTTGTACACAAATAGAAGCTAAACTTTATAAAGCTTTTATTTTTGATGCTAATCCAGCTAAGGTAAATCATATGTTTCAAAGAGAATAAACCATGTAAGCAAATAGAACTTTGACTTAGTGTTCGAGATAGTGGTAATTGAAGGTTCGATTAAGAGACTTTCATAAAGAATTTCCTACTTAGAATGATATGAGATATTCAAGTATAAGGGAGAACTCATAAGTAGTGTCCTGAAATCCGACTGGACACCCGAAACATGACCTTATACCTGAACCTTACCTGGCAATTACTGCTGGCTATATTCAAAAAACAAAAAAAAGAAGCCATATATATTCTCCAAGAGGAGACTTCGGTATGATAAAAACTCAATTTCGATGTTTTCGTCAAAAATAAAAAAAACCCACAGATTCTCTGACTAATAAATTGCTTTTGAGTCGAGAGTATGTGCATTACGTAAATTCAAATAAGCTATGAATATCTTGAAAAGAATGTATGCTCTTAGGTTATTCTCATTAAAACCTGTCTCTATGGAAAATTTCAAATCGAAATTCGAAAATCAATTTTTCTATGAATCACGGTATTCATTTAAAAAATACCGTCAAAGTGTCTTAGTTGTGAGTATTCATAACTCATTTAGATCTACATACTACACACAGTCTTGACTCAAAAACTGATTTATCATTTGAAGAACATTCCTCATAAGATTTAGTCTTAATTGTAATTTACATAAAACCATATTTATTTTACAAAATGTTTATTTTATTTATATTTCAGGATGAATATGTTTTTGAAAATATAATTGATCCAGATTATAAATATAAATTTCCTCTTGAACTTGAACGTTATTATGCAAAAGATAAACGTAAATTATTAAATATATTATGTAAAAAAATTTTAACAACATCTGAATCAGATAATTCATTACATCAACAACAACGTCTATCAAGTACACCACATTATTTATCTTCACAATATTTATTTGGTAGTAGTTTAACAGATGAATTAGCTGTTTTTGATTTTACATCAGCTGCTGTTAATCAACAACAAAATGATTTAAATAAAAGTTTAACAAATTCTTTATCAGATAATTCATCAACTAATTTAATTAATCAAAAAAAACTTGATGATAATGATAGACCAGCATTAATCGAAGGTTCAGATGATGAAATTGGTTCTGAATTTATTGATATGGAAATGGATGAACTTAATTTACATCCATGTATGATACCAATGGTTTGTTTATTAAAACATATGGAAACAAATGGAATTATACCAATAAATGATCATATATCTGATATGTCATCATGGATGATATGTATGTATAAAAAATTTAGTAATCCACTTATATCATTTAATATAAAATTATTTCTTATGCGTCTTATTATAGATACACATACAATATTTAAACCATATGCACGTTATTGGTTAACATCAATAATTCATATGTGTAATCAAATGTTTGAAAATTCTTCAGAAGGTTTAAATACATTTATAATTGATACAATTGTTATATTATTATCATGGCATAAACAAGCTATACCAAGTGAACTTGATTCAATAGCTATACAACGTTTTATTGAATATTTATTTTCAAATTGTTCACATCGTAATGTTATTGTTATGAAATCAAATTTAGATTTAATTAAAAAATTAATTGAATGTTGGAAAGAACGTATACATGCACCAACATTAATTCTCTATAAATTAATATCTGAACCAGATTTAAAATCAAAACAAAATGCATTTAGTCTTTCATTAATTGAAATATTATTAGCTAATGATATTTTACCATATTATGTACCACCAACACCAACAGGAAATCTTCCATCTGTAACAACAAATTCAATATTAACAACTATAACAAATGATTTAACTGAAGATAAATTTAATGAGACAATATTTAAAAATATGAAAAATACTTATAGAAATATATATGCAGCAGCAGATGAAGTTATTGGAATGTTATTAAATATTAAAAAACTTAAACATGAAACAAATCAACGTTTATTAGAAGAATTAAATTTAATATTAAAATGGCATAATAGTCAACGTTTATCAGATACATATGTAACATGTATTTATTCAATACAAAAACATTATCCATTAATTTTTGATAAAACGTAAGGAAAATTTTTCAATGATGAATAAAAACAAAAAACAAAACATTTTGATCTTTTTTTTTGCTTTTTAGTGTTATGAATAAATTAATATTTGGTTTAAAAAAAATGTATGGTGATATTAAAATTGAATGTTTAGAATCATTAATTGCTAATATAACTGAATTTGATTCGGCATATTTAGAATTACGTGCAAGAGGAATATTAGATATTCTTATTCATAAGTAAATAATTTGTTTTTTTCTTAAATTCTATTTATTTTGAAATATAGAATTAATATTCAATGCATTTTTTTTTCGACGAAACTTGATAAAGATTATTGTAGTTGATTTTAGACTTTGTTAAAAGTTGTTTTTTTTCCCAATCGAAAAAACATCCTTTCGATTCTAAAGTTAATTATTCTCTAGTGATAATTCCATGTAAAAACAGACATTTTGTGATTAGATTTTGATCGAGATTATGTATGTTGATGCAATTTCATCCGTTAATAATGTGAAGATGTATGTTGAGTTCAATCTAGATACTCTGAAAAACTAGCGGTTATGATCTTACACAGAAAAGGACAAAGATTTTTTACTAAGTATGATTCCATTTAAAAAGCCTGGGGTTTCAAAGAATATTTTTTTAAAATAAAATAGTCCACGTTGTTGAGAATTCTTCCTACTATAAAGTCTCTATGAAAAATTTTTCCTGAACATGTTTATATTTTTCAAAAAAAAAGTTTATTTGTTATTAGCAACGTTAGGAATCAAAAATTCTCTTGTAACTGAATGAAAAAGTTCAAAATTCATTTGTAAAATTAATTAATTAATTAACTAATTAAGTTTGATTAAGTATAGGCTAAAAGAGTCAATATTTTTCCATATATTCATGGAACATGAATTTGTTCAAAAATATAACTTTTATAAAGAATCAAAGTCAAATCGAAGATGGTCATGTTCTGTTTTTGTTGATTTTGTCCGTATAATGTATAAGTGAAGAGTTCTTTTCAAATTATTGCTTTAATTAAATCAAAGGCGTAACATGAAAAATTATTTTCGATAATACTCAAGAGATTGTCAAAAAGACAAAGACTATTTTGGACACATAGTGTAAGTTGTCTTTTTCCATATATATATATATATAAATTATAAGAATTGTTGCAAATAATTCTACTAAATAGCCACTAAGATCTTCAATAGCGATAATTCAAAAACGCTTATTTTTTCTGAAACTGTCCTGTCCAACATACGCTATAGAACTCTTCAGGCTACTTATCGCCGATTGTGTATTGTTTGTTTTTTCTTTTTTTTTTTACATTCTAATATTATGATGATAAATATGAATGAAAGAAAAATGGAAACTTATGTAAGATGATCATAATAAAACAATGAAAAAAAAAAAAATTTCGTGTTAGAAAACAGAATTTCTATATTCTACTGCAATTAAATTATATCTATAAAAATTAATAAATACTTTCAAATAATTTTCTAGAGATTTTGGTATTCGTGGTATTGCTTTACATTTATTATATAAACTTTTAGCTAAATTAACACATGAACAATTATATGAAATCGCACAAATATTATATGTTGATGGTCCAAATGAATGGCAAATTTGGACACTTGAAATTTATAAATGTATCTATGATTATATAACAAATTATTTAACAAAAGAAATAAAAACATCTATAAGATCATTATCAGAAATGTTTTATCATCATGTTGGTGAACAATTACTAGAATTATTATCAAGTAAAAATGAATATATACGTGTTAATTGTCGAAATTTTTGGGTGTGATTCAAAACATTTAAGTACATCATCACATCATCGTCTTATGGCATTAGTTGATCAATTATATTCAATTAAAACTGAAAATGAATATTTAAATTATTATACAAATTTTCTTCTTGAATGTACAACACATAATCTTGATTATAATCATTTTATATTTGAAAATCCACTTGATAAATGTTCATTTCAAGAATTTCCATTAGCATGTAATTGGCGTCAACGTCATCATACATATATAACACCTTTATTTACATTATAATCACAATCTATAATTGATCCATCAATATCAACAACAACAAATTTAATGACTATGGATCCTGTTTAATTTACGCAAACATTAAGTGAAAATAATAATAATAATGCAGATCAACAACAACAACAACTATCAAATTCAACATCATCAATAATTTTACAAACACAAGAAATATCAAATAGACAAGAATTTATTTCAACAGAAATGTTAGATAATAATAATAATAATAGAAATTATAATTGGCTTAATAGTTGAAAGGCTAGACAAGATGTCTTTGAATTTCAATAACTTCTAAAATCTACTTTTATATCGAACTTTAGAATTTACGGAGTATGTTTGTCTTTACCCCAACAAATCAACTGATTTCAGATCACGTTCAATCTATTTATTTTGTACCTTTGTACTCTTCATAATCAGCAGAAATAAACCATGTTTTTTTAAATTTGAAATGTACTGCAAGGAGATCATCATCTGTGTACGTGAAATCGAATATTTTCTATATCAAATTTTTGTTCATGGTGATGATTATACGATACCAACATTAGAAAATGAACACAGCTAACGAGCGAGACTAAAAGAATGAACCTCTCAGTGTAATTCGAATATCTGTGTCAGATTTCACTGCACATATCTATCCTTTGTTTCTAAAGACTCGCTAATTCCTGTCAAAAACGTCTTTGCACAACTTTAAAACACATACTACTCCCTTATAAAAAAAAAACTTTTCCAATCGCAACGTCTGTTTTAAAATCTCCATAGTATCATCTTTTCAGAAATTATCTAGCATGTTCTTGTTCAAAAACTCTAAATACTTTGTCGAGAGTAACGAAAAACGCATTCGTACCAACAAAGATTCACTTTTTTTTAGAGGTTTGTTGTACTTGAGATAAATCACAATGGTATTCATTATCGTATTGAGATTATAGAACAAATATTTCTCTACAAATCTATCTGTATCGCGGCTTTGTCGAACATTACCGTATAACGTTATGAACATTTGAATGTAACACTCATTCCGTGGAAAATGAGAAAAAGTCGAATTTTCAAAAAAAAAAACAGAGATTTTTGTAAAATGTTTGTAACTTTTCAATAAAAGATCGTAGAACATTAAGTAATACACGATTGTTCACTTTATAATTTAGTGTAAGGACTTAATTATTAATTTAACGTAGTTATAGTTTACGTTCTAAAAATTTATCAACAAGTCCAAATAAAATATTATCATTCGTTTTATGTTCTCTATTTAAATTTATTATGCAAAAATGTTAATTTAGTGGAAGGTTTAAATGTTTTTTTTCATATTCTTTATTTCGATGCTGTAGTAAGTTTAAATAAAATATTTTATTTGTTTTTTTTTAATTCTCTTTTAACTTTATCATTAAATCTTTTACTTTTAGAATGAGTAGAAAAAAACGACATTTTTTTTTAGTTTCATTCATATTTATTCAATCAAAGTTTCGATATGATAGCAAGTCAAGTAAAATATTATGCTTTTTTTATTTTTAGTCTTATGCAGATTTATCATTGAATAAGTGGTGTCGGCCTAGATAGATTAAAGTAGAAGTTTTATTTACTTTTCAATATTAAACTAGAATTATCATTCAAAACATGAATTTCATAATAAGCTGGATAAAAATACAATCTTTTGTGTTTTCAGTGGTGATCCGATAGACGGAGAGGAGCTCAACTCTCCCTGGGGCTAAAAGTCCTGACGCCACTGCTATGCGTCTAATTATGGTTTGGATTGATTATTCAACAACTGAACGTGATAAGAAGTAAAAATAAGATACATTTTAAGCTGTGTTTTCTTTTCAACTAGTTGTACGTAATAAAAGGGAAGAATGGTATACGGAAGGAGTCCTACATTATCTGATGTCCAAATGTAAATACGACATGGTTTTATCGGATTCCAGATATATCCGACGAATTTCTAGCTGTAGAATTCAATTGATGCTACTTGAAATCTTGTGCCAAGAATTTCGATAACTTCCGATAGAAAGTTGTTGAATTCTGTAGGATATCTGATCCGATTCTACAGTATACGATTTAAGATTCTCGGTTCTACGACCGTATGTCTCCGTGATGATATGCAAAACAATACGATTATATACGAAACAATACAGAGACCTTGTACGACTGTCTGTACGAAATGAGTAAACAAGCCTTTTTTTTCTCCTTAGAACACTGTATTTCTTAATATACAACTATACTGAATGACTCAGTATTAAAATTTTCTATATCCTTGACCGCACACGAAGCGTGATGGAGACTGAATACGACTGCCGTGTATACAAGCAAGTAAATGTGCTTTTTTTTTCTTTTCAAATCACTGTATTTCTCTGTGTATGATCGTATCAAACGACTCAATGTTACTATTGTCTACGGCCGTGACCGTATAAAAAGCACATCAGACATAGTATAACGACTGTCGTGTGCAAAGCGAGTAAACGAGCGTTTTTTTTTCTCCCTATACCACACAGAAATATACGATCATAATATTGAGCTATGTATATGGTCGTTTATGATATATCTATTTTGATCTGGATATCCATTATTTTAATCCATCAATCAAAATTCAAAACTTGCAACTAATAAAAATGCATGACTCTATCACGTTTCATAAAACGAATTGTCGTCTCTCTCTTGACTCAATAATATACATCAGGCAATTTCGTAATTTATTACGCGTAAATTTATTGTTTCAATCATATAAGGCGTCAAAAAAAAAAAGAAATTTCGTAGAAATTATTTATTTTGATGTAATTTGAGGTGTATTTATATCACGCACTTGTCCCTGTCCATATTCATAATGTGAATCCATCGAGACATATTCATTATTTTACTTAGTGGATCAAGTTCTTTTTTGATTGACGCATTAAATTTAATTCTTCTTTTAAAAATGTAGTAAATCCAAATTAACCTTTCGACCAATCATTAAAATTTTATTTAATATTAAATTTTCTAGTGAAGACAATGCCTATGGTCCTGTCTTCACTAGAAAATTTATTGTTGAATTAGGTAATGTGATTGGTGTTTCCATATAGCAACACCAATCACATGACTTAATTCAGTAATAAATTCTCTAGTGAAGATAAGGCCATATATATATATATATAAAAGCGAAATGTGATTCATTTTATTCTTTATTGAAGAAAGACAAGGACATTGTGTTACTATTATTTGTTTTTCAAATAACAACATACTCTTAGATAAAGATTAATCTGAAACATTCTTCTATAAATCTATTGACTAGAAAACTTCTTTAATCACATAGAAAAGATTTCAATCAACATGTATAACTTATTATTATCTGCAACTTAAATAATAAGTTCATCAAATAGACTTTTTAGTTGATAACGTTTATCTATAAATGGACTAAAACTTTAAAAGAATTCTTTTGTTTGTTTTTATTATTCTTTATTTTCATCTGTCTAAACAAATAGTATTGAGATTTGCTTTGTATTTTCTTGTAAATATCGTTCTAGAAGAACAAATAAATTGACAATAAAAACAACTAATTGATAACATGATCCAAGCAAGTCGTATAGAGGAATGTAATAATGAATTTCAAATTACAAACAATGAACTATCAACTCCAGAATCAACTCCACCATTAATATCAACACTATGGCTTAAACGAGCACGAATGATTAGTGTTTTAATCTATATTCTACTTCAAGTTGCTTATTTTATATTCATAATCATTTGTATTGCACTTTATCCACGTTGTGAAAAAGCACCTGAAACATCATGGTGGACAAATGGTGTATTTTTACGTTTTTCAAATCGTACAATGAAATTTAATGAGTTAACTGAAAAACTTATTGATTATAGAACTAAATTTCATATACAAGCTCTTTGGCTTAGTCCAGTTTTTCCATTATCAAATGAATTAAATCCAATAGAATGGAGAAATGTTGATAGTAATTTTGGTAATGAAAGTGATTTGACTCGTCTTATTGACAAAGCACATGAAAATGATATTCTAATAATTGTTGATTATCCATTAAATCATCTATCTATTCAATCAAATTATTTTATTTCAAATGATGATTCTTATTTTGTATGGAATGATCAAGGTAATATAAATAATTGGAAAACAATTAATGATAATCAACAATCAGCATGGACTTATAATAATAGAAAAAATTCATTTTATTTACATCAATTTAATAATGATAATGATTCTATTGATATTAATTATCGAAATAATCGTGTTTTTAATGATATGATTGATTCATTTTCTTATTGGAATAAAACTTTTTCAATCGATGGATTTAATGTACAAGGTATTAGTTTTACATATGAAGATTATGAATATAATAATGAAACAAATGATAATAGTAGTCGATTGAGACATCTTGATGAAGATTATCTTTTACTTGCACGTATTAGAGCTGAAATCGACGAGAAAAAAATCTTACTTCTTGATTCAATCGATTCATTAGCTACATCTAATGAACAATTATTAACACGGTATTATGGTGATAAAAATAAATACTTAGGTGGTGTACAATTAGCTTCATTAAATAATTATATATTAGTTAATGAAACTGTAACTAATCTAACAGCATTATTTGATGAATATAATAATTCAATATTTTTTAAAAACCAACAACCATTTCTATGGTCATCTTTATCATCAAATTCTAAATTAAATGAAGCTTTTTTTGCTGCATGTCTATTTCATAATGGTTCTATTTCTATTGATATTGATCGACAAGGAGATCAATTATCAAATACACAACTTAATCGTCTTCGTCAAATAATAAAACTTACACAAAAAGATGTTTTTCGTGTTGGTAGTATTCGGCAAACTATTCTTCCTCAGTCAAAATGGTTAACCATTGAACTAAAAAGACGAGGTCAAAAACATCATATGATTATTATTAATTTTAATGACAAAGATCAAAATGATACAGTTAATTTAGAACAAGGAAAAACAAATGCAGTTGAAGTTGTTTTAACTAATAAGGGAAAACCAGGCAAAAAATATGAAACAAATACATTGATTGAAATGGATAAACCTATTCATTTAAAACTTTATGAATATCTTATTATTCGTTGGTCACCATCTATTGAAGGACTTGGAATTATTTTTTAAGAGTCTATATCTCTCTGAACTTTCTTTTTGTCATCACTTCTTTTTCCTTTATCGCTGTCTAAATTTTATTAAATTCAAATAATTTCTTTTTCCCCTCTGTACTCTATCATCATACATTTTTGCTAATAAAAATTAAAAAAAACGCACAATTTTTTTGACGAGTGCTAATGTCACTCTGTTTCATTAAGGCGTCAATTAAATGATTTCTTTTTTCTTAAAAAACAAAAAAAACTTCATAATTGTTTTTGTTAAAGAAAAAAAAAGTGCTATTTCTTTTTTTTCTGAAATATGCTTCTAGATTTTTCTTTATTTTCTATATTCTCATAACAATTTACTTAGGTTTTTTTTTGTCTTCTAAGTTTAATTTTATTTTTCATCCTATGGAAACACATAAAGTACACGCACAAAAAAAAAAGAATTGACAAAGTTAGAAAATTAAATTCTTTTTTTTTTTCTTCTTTCTTCTCAGCCTCTTCACTTTTATAACCAAGAGAAGTACACATAGTTTTGTTCCCATATTAGTTATTTATCGATAAGAGAAAGTAAGTAAAGGTTAGCATTGGTAGTCATGTCCTATGAACGTCAGAAACACCAATCATCACCACCACCAGCCTATGGTGAGGAGGCACCAGGTGGTATGGAAAATGAATTGTATATTGATGGTACATTGTATGTTGATGGAGTACCAATTAGTCAAAGTGAACAACAAAAACAATTGGCAAGGCAAAAACAACTTCAACAAAATCAATGTAAAAAGTTTTTACTATTAATTCGAAGTAATTGTTTTTAGTTCACTTCTGTTTTGTTTTAATATAATAGAATATTATTTATGATTTAATAGAATTTTGGGCAACACAACAAACAGAAAGAATTGATCGTAAAAAACATAAGAATAGATATGTTCGAACAACTATTCGTGAACTTTTAGTTTATTTGGTTTTTCTAACAGTTTTATCGATTGGTAAAAGAAAATTTCACATCAAAGTTTTTTTGTTTTGATAGGTTTATTTTTTCTAGTCGTATACGGTATGGTAAGCGCTAATATGTTGACATTGACTCAAGCATTACAAAGTGTATTTGTTGATCCACAATTAACTGATGAATCAAATAATAAAACAGGCCCATCATTTGAAGATCTTGATAGTATGGAAGATTTTTGGCAGGTAAAAATAGACAAAAAAATATCCGTTTTTCTATAAATTATTTTTTCAAAATAGTATATGAGTGAAGTTGCTGCTCCTGGTTTTTTTACTGAACAATGGTACAATGAAAAGAATATCAGTGATTATGGTTATATATTACATGAAAATCGTTTGTTAGGTGCTGTTCAAATGCGTCAAAAAAAAGTTCGAAATAATTCTTGTCTTGTGGCTGATGATTTTAAAGAAGAAATAAAATTTTGTTACAATTCTTATGCACCTATCTATGAAGATAAAGTAACATTTGGACCATGTGAAAATTTGGAACCTGAAAGTTGTCCTCATGAAGCGTAAAATTTTATTTTATTTTATAGAAATAATAAAAAAAATAATTATTATTATATTTAGATTTAAATATACCCCATCAATGTCATGGTTTGGATTAAGTACAACAGGACAAGTTAGTATTTATGATCAAGGTGGTTATATTAAAACATTTAATTCAACACAAGATCAATTTACGAAAGATATTGAAGAATTAAAAGATGGGTAAGATAATAGATTTTTTTTTTTTTTGGTTTTTATTTTCATATATATTTTCTTCTTTATAATGATTTAGTCTTTGGATTACACGTGGTACTCGAGCAGTTTTAGTAGATTTTACAGTTTATAATGCTAATTTGAATTTATTTTGTCAAGTAGAGTAAGTTAAAAATTAGATATTCTATTTAAATGTTAATAAATATAAATATGATTAATTATTATTCTAGACTTATTTTTGAATTTCCAGCTGTTGGTGGTTTAATAACATCATCAATATTTCGTGCTGTTAAATTAATTCGTTATGTTCATACATTTGATTATTTTGTCTTAGGTTGTGAAATACTTTTTATTTTATTTATCATTTATTATACGATCGAAGAAATTTTAGAAGTAAGATTTTTTTTTCGTATTAAATTTTTAGTTTTTTGTTTTTCAAAAAAACAAAAAATTTTTTTTTCTTGTTATTTTTAAAGATTCGTAATTTAAGAATCATATATTTTAAATCAATTATGAATTGTTTGGATATTGTAATTATTCTTTTAGCTTACGTTTGTATTGCATTTAATGTTTATCGACAAGTACAAGTTGATTCATTACTTGATACATTATTAGAAAATCAAATAGGTAAATATAATGATTTTACATTTTTATGTTATTGGCAATATCAATTTAATATTATTATAAGTATAACTATTTTCTTGGCTTGGATTAAAGTTTTTAAATATATTAGTTTTAATAAAACAATGACACAATTAAGTGAAACATTAGCAAAATGTGCACGTGATATATCTGGTTTTGCTATTATGTTTTTTATTATTTTTTTTGCATATGCCCAACTTGGTTACTTAACATTTGGTATTCAAGTTGAAAGTTTTCGAGCATTTCAATATTCGGTGTAAGTTAATCGAAAAATCAATTGATCGATATATATCTTACATGTGATTGTTTTAGTTATACATTATTTTTAATTATTTTGGGTATTTTTGATTTTCAATCACTTCAACAAGCTCATCGTGTACTTGGTAAGATTAAAGATTATCTATTTTTTAATATATATATATATATATTTTTTTCTTTAATTAGGACCATTATTCTTTTTAACATATGTATTTTTTGTATTTTTCGTTTTATTAAATATGTTTTTGGCTATAATTAATGATACATATGTTGAAGTTAAAAAAGAATTACGAAATAAGAAAAATGAATTTGAATTAAGTGATTTTGTCAAACGAGGTTATGCTAAAATGCGTGAACGTTTAACAGTTAAACGTGATCGTATAGCTGATATTCGTAAAGCATTAGCATTAGCTGATCTTAATCGTGATAAACGTTTGGAATTTGATGAATGGCGTATAGAAATGAAATCACGTGGTTATGCTGAAGAAGAAATTGAATCAATATTTGCTAAATATGACTTTAATGGTGATAGAGTTTTAGATGAAAATGAACAACGTGCATTAAGTAATGATTTATTAAGACAAAATGATGCTATTCTTAGAGAAATCGATGAATTAAATATGTCAAAAAATAAGTAAGATGAAAAAAAAAACCAATTGAATTAAATTAGAATCGTTTTTTTTAACCCGTTTAGTATAGCAATAGATGATGGAAATGATGATAAAGATGACAAAAGAAAAGCAAGTACAGTATCAACAAAACGTTTACAACCACATGAGGTATCAATTGAAGAATATAATGATTTATCTAAACGACTTGATTCAATGGAAGCATCAGTTGGATTTGTTTTAAATAAAGTATAAAAATAAAATTAAAAAATTTCAATTCGTTTTTAAGAATTAAATTTAATTTAGATTGATAATGTAGCGTCAAAACTTGATACATACGAAAAAACAAAAGTAAATACGGAAAAAAATACGAAAACAAATCGTTCATTAGATGCAAAACATGTATAAGAATATTTGATTTAGTTTTTCTTTTCGTAAATTTTGTATTTTAATTTTAATTAGATAACAACTGATCGAACGGAAAATGATTCATTTGGTGATCCAATACATTCAATCAATAATTTTAATTTTGATTCTGTAAGTTTTCAAAAATGATTAAGAAAATTATACTTTTTCGTATTATTATTATTATTGTAGAATCAATCAACTATATAACAAAAAAATTTGATAATTTATTCATATTAATAATTCATTAAAAAAAGTTTGTCGCCGCTTTTTGTGTGTCTAGTCATTGTGCATCTGTCCACATGATATTCTTTTTAAATGGAGGGGAAAAAATATATATATATTGTTATCTATACTCATATATTTTATTCAAATAAATATGATTGAAAGATATTAAACACTTTCTTTTTAACTAAAATAACAGCGAAGAAAAAAAAACTAGAAGTGTTTCTTGAATTAGATTGATAATTTGATCGTCTCTGACAAATCAATATTTTATGAATTGATTTATCCGAATGGTAAAAATAAAAAATGATATCATGATTCAGTTAATTAAAAAAATAAATAGGTAAAGAGTTTATTGTGCAGATCATTTGGTATTATACAAACAACTATTGTTTTTTATTTTATCATACAGATCTATGATAGATTATTTTTTATTTTATATTCAATTTGTTATCGTTGCCATTTTCGTTATATTTCTATCATAAACAAAGATCAACATTCTGCTTTTTTTTTGTTCTAGACAAAATATGTAACATTGAAAAACTATGAGCATTGTGGAGATTAATAAATAATTGATGTATAATTAATTTTTATCGAATTATCAATTCATACTAGTTTATCGATGAAAAAGACTAAAATTTTTTTTTCTTTTATTTAAAACCATTTAGAATGCACTTCTCAATGTTTTTGAAATATTTACTAAATTTAATACAAATCACAATCGATATATCTCTATCAATTATTTCATGAATTGAATAAAAAACAAAAAAACATAGTTCTATTCATGATTAAAATATTCACTTGTTATTCTATCATTAATTTATATAAAAAAGAAAATCTTTCGACAAAAAAAAAAACAAGACAATGAAATATCATTGGTTCATGTAACTATTTTACACTTTACAGTGATAACAAATTTCATAATAGATTTTTCTATTGATTGATATTAAACATTTCCTAAAATATAAATGTCAAAATAATTGATCTCAACTAACACGCATTATTTCGCCTTTAATCTTAATATATTCTAAGTTCCAGATAGACCACTATTGCATGATTATTATGTCAGAATTTTCTAATTTCAAAATTGTATGCCATACTTTCATTCAAATAGAAGTTTTTTTTTTTAAATATAAAACTTTTAAATGTAAAAAATCTATCATCAAAAATCTTCAATTCATTT